CACCGGGGACATACCCTTCGCTGCAACTTGCGCCCGCCACTATATTCTTCGAATCGAGAAGCTGTAGCTGAACACCATTATGAGAGCTGTTACTGCGAGACTACTACCACCTGCTTGTCGACTGATTCCGCTGAACGACGCAGTGTGGGGAAATTGTGTCAGAGAATGAAGGCCAACAATTCAAGTTAAATATTGTAGCATATCATTAGAGCAAAAAATTTTACTTAATCATATTGATTAGCTGGACTGGTTGAACTATTTCAGGCTGCCCGACACAGTCGCAGTACCTCAGTTCACCAGTTTTCATATGATATTTCAATTACCCTTTACTTTACACTATCCCATTCTAGGACACCGAAGGATACTCCAAATAGTAAAATATTACTGTAAACTCCAGAAAAAAAATTTAAAGAGAAAAAAATTAGAACAGACCCCAAATATGCGCAGTACAAATTAGCTCGAGATAGCTGAGCATTACGATCTAACAAGATTAGAGTGTGCTTTTAGACCCCTTCAGAAGTACATAATATATGGGTACCCTTCGACCCTTGCCTCTTATGTCAGGAGAAACCACCCGCTGTGTCAAACCCCACCCCATCACCACCACCCCCTCCACCCACCGCCCTCAGTCTTTTATAGAAAACCTAGAAATAGCCATGTGTAAACGTTTCACCGCTATTCCTTCCTATTCACCGAATAGATTCTGCTAAATTTCAGTTGATGGAAACTACCTTTTGAAACATCTTGGTCGCTCCACCGCTTCCCTATGCGAGAGGCAAGCTGTGAACACAAAGAAAATATCGACAACACAGCCATGATGTAGAAAGCTATTTTAGGTCCTAGGAATCACTACTCTTTAGGTTCTTCTCGCTACTGGTACTTCAAATTGCATTAGTAATGCCTGGTCATTGCAAGATGTGCCCTTTCAATTCAGAGTAAAATTTATAAGATTATAACACTTGATGAAAGTCACCTGGATGTGGAGCTGCTGGAGGAGGCATCGCGTAGTTGCCAGGTGGTAATGTTGGATTCGGTGGAAAATCAGGATTTGTCGGCGGCTGCTTCGTTTCCGTTGGTACATAAGGATTTTGTAAAGCTAAAATGACGTCAGAGAATATTAAAATAAAAGTTAAAGACGCATGCTCTGACGACGCCGCTGAGCGCTCAGCATCGAATATTTGCTTTTCGTGGGTAGGCAAACAAGTCAACTTTGATCACAATACGATATGACGCAGCGATAACGTTCATTTTTGAACATACAGATAGTGAGTGACTCAGGTGTATTCGAAGGACATCTCAGTCGAGAGCACCCTGTGCATTAAAAACATTTTATCGTGAATTTTAAAAGAAAAATCAATCCAGTTTTTATGCAACAGGGATAGCTCCCTCGCCCTCTTCCCCAGAGTTCCCTCCCCCGAAAAATAAAATTACTGTAACTGGGATGAACACACCTTGATATAGTGTCTTTACACTAGCCCTTGAAAAATTCAAAATTTAGAAAAATTTGAAAAATTCCTGCTAATAAAGAGAGGGAATAAACTAGCTATGTTCTATGATAAAAAGCGCGTTCAGGAACAATATAGCTATAAATGAACAAAAACTCACCTTCGTAGGCTGGTGGAGGCTCAGCCATTTTTTTCGAACCTAAAAAGAATCGAATGAGTGTTTTAAAAATCGTGGCGCAATTGCAGAAGTAAGAAATCGATTGACAAAGTAGTTGATCGTAGCGAAAAGTATGAACATGACAACGACAATAATAATCCAGCTAAATCACCGACATTAAGGAAGAAATTGTTGGTGATTATAGGAAATATGAAGATGAAGGAAAACAAAAAATGCATAGATAAAGAAGAACACTAGTGGCAGAACCATCAGAGAAAAAAGCTATCCAAAATTTCCACCTTGAATTTGGTCCTTCGCATAGTAGTATGAAATTTAATTGAGATTCAATTTAGAGATTGCATTGATAAAAATTAAAGTAGTTTTAATTTTATTCACGTTCTTTGTTATAACAAGCTAACATTTCGAATTTTCTTTTAATTCGGATGAATTCATAACAAATTGACGAATTGACTCAGCTTCGAAAAAATGATGCATATTTCACTCTAATGAAGAATCATTCATTTTTCGCCCTGCTTAATTTACCCTCGCCTTCAAATGACCAGAAATTGTGCAATTGCAGAAATTGACGTCGCACTGGCGGTTACAAGGCTTCTGTCAACCAGGGGTGAGAGTGTAGAAGGAAAAGCAGACGTTCTTTGTGGTAGTGGGACTAAGCCTTTTGAAGGAGGTAAAGAAAGCGGAGATTCTGTAATAGTGCGCTTGTGTGAGAGCTCCCAGACAGCACAACAAAACGCTGAATTGCCTAGCCTCACGGTTGACAGATGTCCGGAGACCGGCTTGGCACACGTGGCTAAATTCTCGATGAAAAGGTGACATCACGTGTGCTCAAAGATGTTCTTGAATCGATGCCACGTTAATGCCACGTCAATTTCTGCAATTGCACAATTTCTGGTCATTTGAAGGCGAGGGTATGTACGACAACTGGAATACTAGCAGTGCAACAATGAATCGAAGATCTTTGATCCGTTGCTGCATCTTATTTCCCTGCCACCGATTATGTTTGGGGCTCATGCCTTCACATTCAGACAACTTATCACCAACTTGGCCATCTTGGATCTCTTGTCGCATTGGGTAGAAACTAAGAACTGGATTAGGATCCTATCAGGTGAAGGAGGGTCATAATCTAGGATTACTAGGCTTGAATGTGGAGGAATTTAAACCTGCACTGAATTACAACTTAGTCCCTACTACGGGTAGCACAGTAGGAAATTCATGAGTTACCAGTAGCATTACCGAGGTGGTAGCAAACTACCTGGTAAGATTCACATGTGTGAAAAGCTTGAGTAAAAAGGATAATGCTTCCATTTTTATGTCCAATTATAAGTATGGACAACGAATAATTAGCAAACTTCAGTCAATCGCATGAATTTCGCATTTTTTTTCTAAATTCATAAAAAAAAACTGGTGCTTTACTAGCATGAGCAGAGGTTAAGTAGTAGCAGGCTGCGCGGTTTCCCGCGTGCACAATCCGGAGGACAATTCGGGACCGAATCTCGTTCGAGCCAACTAACCCTCCCATCGTTCGAGGACATTTTGGCCCCTAGTACCAAACGTAACACTGTAAAGTTATTGTTTTGAGTAAAAAAAAAGGTATCCTTATTCAAATGTGTCAAAGAAATGGGTCAATGTGTCCGGGAAAAGCTGCTGCCCTGAACAAGTTATGAATATTGAAGAAATAACCTAAGCCAAGATCCGCAAAAGTTTGCTCTAGAGGTCTGCATGATTGCGGATTTCCACCTCAGTGAACTGAGCAAGCGCTCTGATGTGCTACTTTTGGAACAATTGATCAACCATGAACTGAGCCGCCTACTTTTGCAGAATTTTTGCTTAGTTCTTGTTCAAAATCTTCACTAAACACCTAGCGCTCCTCTAGGGTATTGGAGGGGGTATTTTGGTACAACAGTATGTGCCGACTACACTAATCTGTCTTGGACAGAAGTTCTGAAGTGGGTGAACGACATCGTTTGTGTAGAAGGGAACTACGACAGGAGCACTTTCTCAAAATATTTTTTGATAAAAAAAATTTGTAGCGGTTTCATATGCCCTGAACTTTGGTATCAGAATGCCTCTATACAGAGTCAAAACCCCCATGATCAAAAAGTTTTGAAGGAATTTCCACGTTTCCGCCACAATACTTTCAAAATTGTAGTTACTGTGCCACAAAACCGCAACAATAAAAGTGAAAATAGTAAAACTGCAGTCAAAGTCTGTGAGAATTTTCTCGTAGACAAGGAAAAATATAAAAAGCGTATGTTATTGAGAAAGTCTGCGGTTTTCAATTTCGATGTAGACGAAAGTGATTAAGAAACTGATAACTGAATACATGAATCATGAGCGTAGCGTTCCAGAAATCAATGTGTGAACAAGATCGATGTTGATAAAACGGATACGTGCCTTTCTGAAAAATGACGTTCATTAGACGGAAAACTGTGAGGTGATGAATGATGATCCAGCACTCATACTGGGGTTCACTACAGACTTCTCTTTACATCAATCTGGGAAACGATCACCTGACCGTGTCAACTACAAATAAGTGGATCAATAGAGAGAAGAAAATTCAAAAAAGGCTGTTCAACTCATTCAGAATGTTTCATGCATTCGTCGCGAAATCGTGGAGACTA